TACTGCATAAAAATAACTGTAAACATAAAATTCCTAATAGTTATTGCCTAATTAATCTTAAGTTTGTCTGAAATACTCTGGCAGTATAGGAGCTTTTATGGAAACAATGTATCATGCCCAGATAAAACCATTCCCATTACTAAATTTACTAATGGTAATACTGTATTTGTTTTGAACCACCTCACTATTATCGATCTTACTAATTATAAACTTTTTAATCACCTAACTTTTATATAAATATGCATTAATAAACATTAAAACGTACTATTCCATAGTCAGTGAGTATTAGTCTGCCCAAAATGCCTAGGCATGCTAGTGGCTTTCTTTGTAATTAATATTTTGTAATATGAAAACCACACATTGTAAGTTTTGCAAGGAAATAAATGTTTTCATTTTCATTTTCAAATGAAATAATGAATTTGAATTTGAATTAGACTATTGGCTTAGTTGACCTGTGTGTGTTAAGTGGGGAGCAAAGAGCATGGTTGTGGAAGGAAGCATAATCTTAAGGCAATTTTAAGTTTGCCCGCAATGCTCTGCATACATAGGGGCTTTTGGCATGTAAACCCGACTATTGTATCCTTTTGTACAATTATGTATCATGTCAAAATAAACATTATTATTATTTTTTTTTTTTTTTTTTTTTTATTATCACACTGGCCGATTCCCACCAAGGCAGGGTGGCCCGAAAAAGAAAAACTTTCACCATCATTCACTCCATCACTGTCTTGCCAGAAGGGTGCTTTACACTACAGTTTTTAAACTGCAACATTAACACCCCTCCTTCAGAGTGCAGGCACTGTACTTCCCATCTCCAGGACTCAAGTCCGGCCTGCCGGTTTCCCTGAATCCCTTCATAAATGTTACTTTGCTCACACTCCAACAGCACGTCAAGTATTAAAAACCATTTGTCTCCATTCACTCCTATCAAACACGCTCACGCATGCCTGCTGGAAGTCCAAGCCCCTCGCACACAAAACCTCCTTTACCCCCTCCCTCCAACCCTTCCTAGGCCGACCCCTACCCCGCCTTCCTTCCACTACAGACTGATACACTCTTGAAGTCATTCTGTTTCGCTCCATTCTCTCTACATGTCCGAACCACCTCAACAACCCTTCCTCAGCCCTCTGGACAACAGTTTTGGTAATCCCGCACCTCCTCCTAACTTCCAAACTACGAATTCTCTGCATTATATTCACACCACACATTGCCCTCAGACATGACATCTCCACTGCCTCCAGCCTTCTCCTCGCTGCAACATTCATCACCCACGCTTCACACCCATATAAGAGCGTTGGTAAAACTATACTCTCATACATTCCCCCTTTGCCTCCAAGGACAAAGTTCTTTGTCTCCACAGACTCCTAAGTGCACCACTCACTCTTTTTCCCTCATCAATTCTATGATTCACCTCATCTTTCATAGACCCATCCGCTGACACGTCCACTCCCAAATATCTGAATACATTCACCTCCTCCATACTCTCTCCCTCCAATCTGATATTCAATCTTTCATCACCTAATCTTTTTGTTATCCTCATAACCTTACTCTTTCCTGTATTCACCTTTAATTTTTTTCTTTTGCACACCCTACCAAATTCATCCACCAATCTCTGCAGCTTCTCTTCAGAATCTCCCAAGAGCACAGTGTCATCAGCAAAGAGCAGCTGTGACAACTCCCACTTTGTGTGTGATTCTTTATCTTTTAACTCCACGCCTCTTGCCAAGACCCTCGCATTTACTTCTTCTTACAACCCCATCTATAAATATATTAAACAACCACGGTGACATCACACATCCTTGTCTAAGGCCTACTTTTACTGGGAAAAAAAATTTCCCTCTTTCCTACATACTTAACTTGAGCCTCACTATCCTCTTAAAAACTCTTCACTGCTTTCAGTAACCTACCTCCTACACCTTTACACTTGCAACATCTGCCACATTCCCCCCCTATCCACCCTGCATACGCCTTTTCCAAATCCATAAATGCCACAAACACCTCTTTATCTTTATCTAAATACTGTTCCATTTTATATTTTTTCACTGTAAAACACCGGGTCCACACACCCCCTACCTTTCCAAAAGCCTCCTTTTTTCATCTGCTATCCTATTCTCCGTCTTACTCTTAATTCTTTTCAATTATAACTCTACCTACACTTTACCGGGTACACTCAAAAAGACTTATCCCCCTATAATTTTGCACTCTCTTTTATCCCCTTTGCCTTTATACAAAGGAACTATGCATGCTCTCTGCCAATCCCTAGGTACCTTTCCCTCTTCCATACATTTATTAAATAATTGCACCAACCACTCCAAAACTATATCCCCCACCTGCTTTTAACATTTCTATCTTTATCCCATCAATCCCGGCTGCCTTACCCCCTTTCATTTTACCTACTGCCTCACGAACTTCCCCCACACTCACAACTGGCTCTTCCTCACTCCTAAAAAGATGTTATTCCTCCCTTTCCCTATACACGAAATCCCCAGCTTCCCTATCTTCATCAACATTTAACAATTCCTCAAAAAATTCCCCCCATTTCCAATACCTCTAACTCTCCATTTAATAACTCTCCTCTCCTATTTTTAACTGACAAATCCTTTTTGTTCTCTAGGCTTTCTTAACTTTTAATCTCACCCCAAAAACTTTTTCTTATTTCAAAAAATTTTGTTGATAACATCTCACCCACTCTCTCTTTTGCTCTTTTTTTACTTGCTTCCCACTCTCTTAACCTCTTCTTTTTTTCTCCTAAAAACCTCTTCCCCTCCTTTGCCCCTTCTACATTTAAAAATTTCTCATGCTAATTTTTTTTTTTCCCCCCCTTATACCTCTTTAAAAACACATTCCCCCAACGCTTCCCTTCCCCTCCTGCACCCCCCTTTCCTGTAACCACAAATTTCTGCTGAACATTAACCCTACATTTTAAACCTACCCCATACCTCTTCGACCCCTTGCCTATGCCTCATTACCCATCTACCCCCAATAGCTTTTTTTAAATCTCCTTAAACCCCTCCCATTTTATTTTTTAAACCTTCACCCTTCTTTCCCTGATCCTTCTACTCCTTTATCCATCCCCTTTTTACTCCGTGTAGCTACAACAAGAAAGTAAACTGAATATCTGTGGCCCCTCTAAAACATTACACCTGAAGTCTACTAAACAGTCTTTTATCTACCAATACATAATCCAAAAAACTACTGTCATTTCGCCCTACACATATCTGTATACTTTTTTACCTCTTTTTTTTTAAATATGTATTACCTATAAACAAACCCCTTTTCTAACAAAGTCAATCAAGGGCTCCCATTATCATTTACACCTGGCCCCCCCAAACTACCTACCACACCCCTCAAAAAAGTTTCTCCCCCCTTTAGCATTCGGTCCCCTACCACAATTACTCCTTCACTTGGTTAAAAAGGCTCCTATACATTCACTTAACATCTCCAAAATCTCTCTCTCTCCCTGCATTCCTCTCTTCTCCGGTCATACCCTTTTTATGACCCACTTCCCGCATCCAACCTTACTTTTTCCAATAATTTTTGAATTTACACATTCATATTCCTCTTTCTCCCTTTCCCTAACGAATCATTTAAAAATTAGCACCCCCCCTTTTCCCTTTTCCAATCTCTCAGAAAAACTCCCAAATTTAATCCCATTTATTTTCCCCCCCCCTGAAACCTCCTACCCCCTTCAGCTTTGTTTTATTTGACCCCCGGACATCCCAAATTTTTTTTCATTCATAACACAGCAAACATCGTTTCTTGTCACCGCACACATCCACGCACATTTAAACTCCCCGTTTATAAAGTTTTTCTTCTTTTCTTTATTTATTATTATTATTATTTTTATTTTATAAAACAAAACAGACAGTCCTAACTGTATTTTAAGGTAAACAAAAGTGCGCTGGAGCTGACGAAATCACACGTTACGAAGAGTTTAAAGCGAAGAAACTACTCAGAATGAAAAACTTTCTCTTTTTTTTGAGTCTGTCTTAAATTAAAGTTCCCAATGGGTCATCAAGCCCCAAATCAGAAAAACATTTTTTTTTTCCCCAGCCAATATTTTCCCTAGTTAAAACCCCGCCTTAAATCTGGGGAAAAATCCTCTTTTAAAAAACAAAAACAATTTTTTTATAGAACAAAAAACATTGAAAGCGCAAAATATTTAAAAATTATAAATAAATTTTTGTTTGTCGAAATTGTAAAATCAGTAAAATAAAATTATAAAATAAATTAAATTTAAAAAATTAACTTATGAATAAATTTAGACAAACCTAAAAAGTCATTAAGAGTAAATTCTAGGATCTGATTTCCCAAAAACGGACAAATTCTGGAACAGCAAATACAAAGTCGAAAAAAAATGAGGGTAAACAAACTTTAAAAATAATATAAAATTTCCTTGCTCTACTGGATATATTAACTTTTAAAATCCCTACATCACCCAGAATATATTTTGCAAGATTAAAATAAAAGCAATATTCATAGTATATGAGAAAAATCTTAAATTTTTTAATGACAATTGTGAAAAGTAATAATCACATTTGTTCGAAAACAATGTAGATCTATAACTTCTCCGCAATTTGCTTTATACGCATTTCTATCAATTTTTTCATATACACGTATTATCTATTAATACAATGTAATTATGACCCTGATGGGTTTAGTGCTTAGTTATGATTATAATAATAATACAATGTTATGCAGTCAGTTCCATATTTGTATATGAAGAGCACTGTATAACCCTTGTGGGTTTAGCTCTTAGTAATGATTATAAAATAATGGTATAAGAAGAATGACTGTAATTCGAGGCTATTCATTGCAAATATACCTCTACTATGGTGCTGTTTCAGAATACATGCTGAAAAACTGACAGCGGTGCAAGAAGAAGCAATGAAATTAGTCTTTCAAGTACGCTCTAGGCAGGTGAATGGTTTTCTTGTGTTTTCTTGTGTTTTGTTGTGTCTTTGTTGTGTCTTTGTTCTACTAACGGCCTCCATACTAACCCCTTATTCTCCCACCGTTCCTTTTCGAAGCCTTTATGAATGGACTGAGCTATCGAGGATTCCATCAGGTCCACATATCGAACCACCATCGGTGCAAACGTCTCTCTCAGGTGTTGGTGAAATCGTCCATTTTTAAGGTTGTCTGTACAGAGCAAATAAATGTTCCAAGTTAATTAAAAAAAAAAAAAAATTGCCATACATAAAAAATTACATGATACTAATGATAATTATAACCTTAATTTTTAAAGCGAAAGTCCTCGGTCAGAAGACCAAAAGCTCCAGCTGTGGGTCATCATATGACTTAGACCCATGTCAGGAAACACATGTTTTGTTTCCTGACAAACTTTACCTAACCTTACCTGGAGAGTATACATGGAGAGGGTTTCGGGGGTCAACGCCCCTGCAGTTCGATCTGAGACCAGGCCTCATGGTGGATCAGGGTCTGATCAACCAGGCTGTTACTGCTGGTAGCACCTACATGAAACTCTTGGATAGTAAATACAGTAGGACCCCCATATCCACAGAGGATACATTCCGAGGACCTACCACAGATTTTGAAACCCAGGATATTAACAAACCCTATACAGTGGACCCCCGGTTAACGATATTTTTTCACTCCATAAGTATGTTCAGGTGCCAGTACTGACCGAATTTATTCCCATAAGGAATATTGTGAAGTAGATTAGTCCATTTCAGACCCCCAAACATACACGTACAAACGCACTTACATAAATACACTTACATAATTGGTCGCATTCGGAGGTGATCGTTATGCGGGGGTCCACTGTATATAAGTCCTATACATACCTATTATAAAGTTTAATTGATAAATTATGCATACTAAGTAGAGAATTATCACTTTATCACTGATGGGAAGCACCTCTCAGTTTCTCTTAGGTTTTGAAGAACTGCCAGCGTTTCTCCTTTTGCATTTTGGGGTCATTATTGTGCAAAATTAAGAGGTATTTTTGTGCTACAGTAAACAGTGGATAACTGAAACCGTGGATAATGAATTGGTGGATACGGGGGTTCTACTTTATAAAGTCCATTGGGTTTAAAGTTAAACTACTGCACATGGGTCATTAAAACTAATTCACCTGTATAATAATATTAGAATACTTTAATCTCTTAAATAAGAATTAAAGTAAAGTCTCAATATATACACAGATACATCTCTGTGTATATACCTTGAGAGAAATACACTAGTGTATAAACACAGATATTCACCTCAGTTTATGTATGCATACACCTCTAAGTGCATATACACCAAAGATATACAAGTGTAGACATACAGATCTACACCTCATTCTATATACACACACATCAGTGTATATACACAGATATACACCTCACAGTGTGCATGGACATTCACTGATATTTGGGGTATGTATATATATGTATATGTTGGAGTGTGAGCAAAGTAACATTTATGAAGGGGTTCAGGGAAACCGGCAGGCCGGACTTGAGTCCTGGAGATGGGAAGTACAGTGCCTGCACTCTGAAGGAGGGGTGTTAATGTTGCAGTTTAAAAACTGTAGTGTAAAGCACCCTTCTGGTAAGACAGTGATGGAGTGAATGATGGTGAAAGTTTTTCTTTTTCGGGCCACCCTGCCTTGGTGGGAATCGGCCAGTGTGATAATAAAAAATAAATAAATATACAATTTGTCAACCACACTTTTGTACAGCATGAAAGGGAATGAAAATAAAATTCTGAATTTATGTTATTGTTGTTGTTGGAGTTAATAAAGCCATTGACAGCATTTGTTATGAATAACCTGAAGTAAATTTTATTATTCTTCCATCTCTGCCAGAAGTGTTCTACATAACATGGGTCATTCAATGGTTACTATTAAATGTTATTCAATCTTGTAATACTATTCATCTTGTGAAAATATTGCAAGTCGAACCATAGTAAAGTGAAGAGCATCTGTATAGACAAGTACAGGTGGGCTCCTCTTATACAGCAGGTTAGGTTCCAGGCTACTGTAGGGCCCCGCTTACACAGCAGGTTAGGTTCTGGGCTACTGTTGGGTCCCACTTACACAGCAGGCTAGGTTCTGGGCTACTGTTGGGTCCCACTTACACAGCAGGCTAGGTTCCGGGCTACTGTTGGGTCCCACTTACACAGCAGGTTAGGTTCCGGGTTACTGTTGGGTCCCACTTACACAGCAGGCTAGGTTCCGGGTTACTGTTGGGTCCCACTTACACAGCAGGTTAAGTTCCGGGTTACTGTTGGGTCCCACTTACACAGCAGGTTAAGTTCCGGGTTACTGTTGGGTCCCACTTACACAGCAGGTTAAGTTCCAGGTTACTGTTGGGTCCCACTTACACAGCAGGATAAGTTCCGGGCTACTGTTGGGTCCCACTTACACAGCAGGCTAGGTTCCGGGTTACTGTTGGGTCCCACTTACACAGCAGGTTAAGTTCCGGGTTACTGTTGGGTCCCACTTACACAGCAGGTTAAGTTCCGGGTTACTGTTGGGTCCCACTTACACAGCAGGATAAGTTCCGGGCTACTGTTGGGTCCCACTTACACAGCAGGTTAGGTTCTAGGCTACCACTGTAAAGTGAATGCATATAAAAGCCTGATAACATATTTACACTATCATATATTAAGTGAGCAAACAAGTTAGGCCTAAAAATGGATATACAGTATACGCATTCCTTACTTTATAATATTTTTGTCCTTAGCTTGTAATGAGTAGTAAATATATTTATTGTAGGAAGTCTGAATAAATGAAGAATGGGTATGATCGAAAATCGCTGCATTAGAACGCCATTAATCAAAGTACTGTAAAGCAAGGCCCGCCTGTACATCCATGGAAGATTATAAATAAATAAACACTGATTGTACAGCAATGCAAGCAACCATACGACCTGTTTTTGTAATACTCATTTGTGCTTAATTGTTATCTGTTTACAATAATGTTTTACCACTGAATACTTCATTGCTTAATTAATCTTAAGTTAATTTTAAGCCTGCCCATAATGCTATGCATTCAAGTGGCTTTGGCATGCTGCATTTAACTGTCTTCTTTTGTACTTCTCTGTATCATGTTCAAATTAATAAATAAATAAATAAATAAATAAATAAATAAATAATAAATAAATACTTGCCATCTGTTCTCAGGTAGTCGTTGAGTATCTGGAAGAGAGGGAAGGAGTCCCAGGTGTCAGGAGGTTGCTCCGCTAAAACTTGGTCCATGTCCACGGCAAAGAGGGACCAGAAGATCTCAGCATGTTCCACCAAAAGGTCGCTGAACCATGCAAATGCCTGAAAATGATATGTCCAGACATTTTAGTTTTGGCAGGTTATTTAAGGTCAGTGTAAGTGATAAATATTTCTGAAATAAGAAATTACCTGAACCTGTAACAAGACTGATTGACTTAAAATGGCAATAAATAATTGTAATTTTATATTAGTAGAACTAGCAATTTTAGATTTACTATTATAGTAGTAAAATGTTGAAGAATATATAATCAGATAAAGATAAGTCTAAATATAGTAGTGAAATGATGAAAAACTGTAATCTGAAATATTACAGAACTGAAAAGTTTGTTTTGGAATTCAGATGTTTATAATATAATTTTTTGCTTGTACTGTAATGTATTGTATTAAAAATTACTTCTTGAAATTTTGTCACATATTTTCAGAGCACGTTGATCACATGGTCGATAAAGTGGGAATACTTCCGACCTGATCAATCTGAACTTCTGGTGCGTAAATATAAAATGAAAATAGAGAGCAGTGATGCACAAAAAGATGACAGTGATACAATCGTGACGTTTAGATGCTAACAAAAATATATAATAATAATTTATTAAAAGCACTTCTATGGTTTAAAGTGACACACACACACACACACACAACTCTTTGTCTGACCCAGTCATGGTCAGCAGAGTACAACACACTTAAAATATTTAGTGGTCATAAATAAAATCACAATTTAATAGCAGTGAAATAAAACAAGCCATAAAAATTTAGTTAACAGTTTACAGTACCACAGTATATACATACATGAGCATATTAAAAGAAAATATAAACAATGGCATTTTCAAGTACAGTAACCTCATTTAGAATAATGGGGGGGACTATGTATTTTAGCAATCTTGCAACAATGAAAGGTTTTTGCCACCCGTTTCTCATTTATTATTGTGAGTGTGAAACACTAATATGTTGCAAGACCTTGTGAATTTTTACATATGCAGTTAAACACCATTAATACATGCTTTTGTATTTTGGCTGTTTAGAAAAAAAAATGGCTCCCAGGAACAAAAACCGAAAATTGTTTTTTCAGCTTTTGTACTCTGGTTAAAATTTTCGTAGAATTTTGAATGGCTCTATTCCAAGCCCAGTAATTAAGTCTACTGGAGCACAGACATAAAGCCTTTAAGACTAGCAGGAGCTGGCTGCAAGTACCATTTAGCTGTATTTGGATGGGGGACACTCCTACATTTATTGTCATCCTGCAGGTCAAACTACACCCTAAAACTATTTACATATATAATTATTATAATATACACTATATATAATATACATACTGTATATTCTATATACAATATATAGCTTTTAATGGTCTTATGACTCATTAGCAACACAAGCAGCCTACAAATGCACATCTACTCACCCTTAAAGTTGTTCCATTGAACTAACTTGCACTTTTAGCAGAGTATACCTTCTTCTCTCCCCATTTTCTATCTGATTTTCCATTGTCTATTAATCACAGTTAACTAGAGACCACCATGAAGCTAGTAACATCACTGTATGATTGGTGTCGACCAGTTGACATGTAAAGATGGAATTCTCCATGGGTTTTCAGTAATTTACTTCAAAGCTTTATGCGACAGATGCATTCCTTCTCTTTATGCAAGAGATGTATTCCCTCGGTTTATGCAAGGTATGCAGTCTCTTGCTTTATGCAAGAGATGTATTCCCTCGGTTTATGCAAGGTATGCAGTCTCTTGCTTTATGCAACAGATGCAATCTCCACTTTATGCAAGAGATGCAGTCTCTTGCTTTATGCAACAGATGCAGTCCCTTACTTTATGCAAGAGTTGCAGTCCCTTGCTTTATGCAAGAGATGCAGTCCCTTGCTTTATGCAAGAGATGCAGTCCCTTGCTTTATGCAAGAGATGAAGCCCCTTGCTTTATGCAAGAGATGCAGTCCCTTGCTTTATGCAAGAGATGAAGCCCCTTGCTTTATGCAAAAGATGCAGTCCCTTGCTTTATGCAAGAGATGCAGTCCCTTGCTTTATGCAAGAGATGCAGTCCCTTGCTTTATGCAAAAGATGCAGTCCCTTGCTTTATGCAAAAGATGCAGTCCCTTGCTTTATGCAAGAGATGCAGCCCCTTGCTTTATGCAAGAGATGCAGTCCCTTGCTTTATGCAAGAGATGCAGTCCCTTACTTTATGCAAGAGATGCAGTCCCTTGCTTATGCAAGAGATGCAGTCCCTTGCTTTATGCAAGAGATGCAGTCCCTTGCTTTATGCAAGAGATGCAGTCCCTTGCTTTATGCAAGAGATGCAGTCCCTTGCTTTATGCAAGAGATGCAGTCCCTTGCTTTATGCAAGAGATGCAGTCCCTTGCTTTATGCAAGAGATGAAGCCCCTTGTTTTATGCAAAAGATGCAGTCCCTTGCTTTATGCAAAAGATGCAGTCCCTTGCTTTATGCAAGAGATGAAGCCCCTTGTTTTATGCAAAAGATGCAGTCCCTTGCTTTATGCAAGAGATGCAGTCCCTTGCTTTATGCAAGAGATGCAGTCCCTTGCTTTATGCAAAAGATGCAGTCCCTTGCTTTAAGCAAGAGATGCAGTCCCTTGCTTTTTGCAAGAGATGCAGTCCCTTGCTTTATGCAAGAGATGCAGTCCCTTGCTTTATGCAAAAGATGCAGTCCCTTGCTTTATGCAAGAGATGCAGTCCCTTGCTTTATGCAAGAGATGCAGTCCCTTGCTTTTTGCAAGAGATGCAGTCCCTTGCTTTATGCAAGAGATGCAGTCCCTTGCTTTATGCAAGAGATGCAGTCCCTTGCTTTATGCAAGAGATGCAGTCCCTTGCTTTTGCAAGAGATGCAGTCCCTTGCTTTATGCAAGAGATGCAGTCCCTTGCTTAAGCAAGAGATGCAGTCCCTTGCTTTTTGCAAGAGATGCAGTCCCTTGCTTTATGCAAGAGATGCAGTCCCTTGCTTTTGCAAGAGATGCAGTCCCTTGCTTTATGCAAGAGATGCAGTCCCTTGCTTTATGCAAGAGATGCAGTCCCTTGCTTTATGCAAGAGATGCAGTCCCTTGCTTTTTGCAAGAGATGCAGTCCCTTGCTTTATGCAAGAGATGCAGTCCCTTGCTTTATGCAAGAGATGCAGTCCCTTGCTTTTTGCAAGAGTTGCAGTCCCTTGCTTTATGCAAGAGATGCAGTCCCTTGCTTTATGCAAGAGATGCAGTCCCTTGCTTTATGCAAGAGATGCAGTCCCTTGCTTTATGCAAGAGATGCAGTCCCTTGCTTTTTGCAAGAGATGCAGTCCCTTGCTTTATGCAAGAATGCAGTCCCTTGCTTTATGCAAGAGATGCAGTCCCTTGCTTTTTGCAAGAGTTGCAGTCCCTTGCTTTATGCAAGAGATGCAGTCCCTTGCTTTATGCAAGAGATGCAGTCCTTGCTTTATGCAAGAGATGCAGTCCCTTGCTTTATGCAAGAGATGCAGTCCTTGCTTTTGCAAGAGATTGCAGTCCCTCGCTTTAGCAAGAGATGCAGTCCCTGCTTTATGCAGAGATGCAGTCCCTTGCTTTTTGCAAGAGATGCAGTCCCTTGCTTTATGCAAGAGATGCAGTCCCTTGCTTTTTGCAAGAGATGCAGTCCCTCGCTTTATGCAAGAGATGCAGTCCCTTGCTTTATGCAAGAGATGCAGTCCCTTGCTTTTTGCAAGAGATGCAGTCCCTTGCTTTATGCAAGAGATGCAGTCCCTTGCTTTATGCAAGAGATGCAGTCCCTTGCTTTTGCAAGAGATGCAGTCCCTTTCTTTTGCAAGAGATGCAGTCCCTTGCTTTAGCAAGAGATGCAGTCCCTTGCTTTATGCAAGAGATGCAGTCCCTTGCTTTATGCAAGAGATGCAGTCCCTTGCTTTATGCAAGAGATGCAGTCCCTTGCTTTATGCAAGAGATGCATTCCTAGCCCATGGCACAAAGTGAATTTGCTTGGAGTAAACCTGATTTAAAATGTAAAATCTAGAGATTCATTCAGAGATTTTGTAAATTCTGAATTTCTTGAGTCATATTTACAAAAACAAAAAAAATGTACAATTGCACATGCACCGAATGGTGATATACAAAAGAAAAACGAACTTAGTAAAAAAAAAAAAAATGAGGAAAAAGTAAAATAAACATTCACTAATAAGCCCCATACTTGAAGTTGATGCAATCTATTAGTTCCTTTTTTAAATGACCAAAACTGAGTGCAATGATGGTGGGATTTTCAGTGTAGGGTTATTCAGGAACCATCTGAATGTATTTGTGTGTGTGTGTGTATTATGTCCAACTAACTGGTTGTCCTCAGTCCCTTCATGTTGAATAGTAAGCTCATAAAACACCATCAAATCCCTCCCCCCCCCTCCCCAGAAACTTATCCTGTGCCTTCCTCTACCATGAACAAACAAGCATACATGCCTGCTGGATGCTCAAGCCTTATACTTCTCAAAACCACTTCCTAATAATTATTATTAGTTATATTCCCCCAATGCACTAAACCTGTGTTGGTCATCCCACCTCAAAACTCTTTTGGACTCCCTTCACTGCTTTCAATCCATCTCAGATTTATATATTTACTCAACGTTTCTTGCTTCAACTTTTCACAGAGTGAAACCATCTCAACAACTCTTCTTCCACTCCATGAATTGTATCTTTTATAACACCACACCATCTTCTAATTTCTTCTTCCACTCCATGAATTGTATCTTTTATAACACCACACCATCTTCTAATTTCTGTTCTACTTCATCTCCACATAATACACCACTAACATTACACAATGAGCTGCAATATAACATTCTCATTTCTTCCTACTTCTTCGTTGATGAAATTTCTGTTGACAACACTATACAAAAGTACAGTGGACCCCTGCTTTACGATCAGCTCCCAATGCGACCAATTATGTAAGTGTATTTATGTAAGTGCGTTTGTACGTGTATGTTTGGGGGTCTGAAATGGACTAATCTAATTCACAATATTCCTTATTAGAACAAATTTGTTCAGTAATGGCACCTGAACATACTTCTGGAATGAAATAATAT